GCATGTGATATTAATCATACTGTTCAATAGATTCCACATTATGATGTGTCATCTTTCTTGGGAATGGGAACAAATATGGACCTCTTCTAATCCATTGGTCAGACAGCTGTCCTCCAGATTTCCTGGCAAAAACTCATGAGTGCCTCTAAGGTTGCATCTGTTAACTGAAATAAATCAATTGGAATCCCACTGATTCCTGGAATGTTATTTTTTTGCTAATGCCACTGGTACAGCTTCAACTTTCTCCTTCATTACCACTGACTCCTGCTCATATGGTACTTCCTGAAATTTTTCAGTATCTGTCATGTTTGTTTTGGTACAGTGATTCCGTGTATTCCCTCCATCATCTTCTGATGTTTTCTGAGTCATTCAATGTACTGTCCATAACATCTTTCAATATTGTGACTCAAAGCTTAGATTTGTTTTTCAATACTCTCAGCTTGAAAAATGTAGAGTGAGTTCTTTTTTAATTCTCCAGTTCCAGCTCTCTGCTTATTCCATTATACTTTGCTTTGTTTTTTTCAAGCTGCCCTTTGAAATCTTCTGTTCAGCTCTTTTATTTCATCATGTTTTCCCTTTATTTTGGCTTCTTGACACTCTAGTGCAACTTCCAGAGTCTTTTCTGTCATCTATTTAATTTTTTGCTTTCTCCTCTGTTTTTGTAACGGCCTTTTGCTCTCTTCATGGGTAATATCCTTGATATCATCTCACAACTCATCTGTCTTTGATCACTGATGTTCAGTGCTTCAAACCTATTCTTAAGATGAGTTTGAAAATCAGATGGGATAGATTCAAGATCATATTTAGTTATTGTTTTGGACTTGTTTTCATTTTCTTCAGTCTCAATTTGAACTTGAACAAGAGTAACTGATGGTCTGACCCACAGTCAATCCCTGGCCTAGTGTCTCTTCCAAGTCATCTCTAGTAGACTTGAACCTCCAGCTCTATCGTTAGAATGGAGCACCACTGGGGAAGCACAGATGAAAAAATCCAATGCATTATTTTTATTAGTCTATGCTCTAAGGGAGAAAGATGAGCAATCTCTTCTCATATAATTAACAGCTTTAGAAACTCAAGGAAAGTTAGCTATGAGTTGGTTCCAATTCCAGAGCAATGACTTTGATATTACAGAATCCTAGAAACAGGTTCACACTGCTAATAGTTAATTAAAGTGTTAAAAACTTGTAAAATGAAACAAGGATAATGAATTCCTCTATATTTAAGGTATTGCATTCATTGACTAGAATATTATGCATGCTACAAATGGTTAAGCACTTAACCACTATACAAAAGTTTGACAATTAAAATCCATCCAGAGTTGTCTCAGAAGACAAAGCCTATGTTATCTGCTTCCAAAAAATCTACAGCCATGAAAATGCCAAGAGGAAGGTCCACTCTGCACATGGGGTTCCCACAAGCTACAATCAATGTAATGGCAGCTAAAAAGAACAATTGATTATTTTTAAAAAAGCATGCCAGAATAAATGACTACTGCAACATCACAAGCACCACAGAAATAAGGGCCTTGACTACAGTATGACAAAGCAGAATGATTTCATCAAGAGTCAAGAGATGGAAGAAAAGACTAAAGTTTCTTCTTTAATCTAAGAACCAATGACTTTTAAAGATATTATCATATTGCATTTTATTAAACACTTCCTAATCATTGTTTTTGACTATGCAAAGGCTTTTGACTGTGTGGATCACAACAAGCTATGGCTGACTCTGAGAAGAATGGGAATCCCAGAACATTTGATTGTGCTAATGTGAAACCTATACTTGGACCAAGAGGCAGTTGTCAGAACAGAGCAAGGAGACATGACATGGTTCAAAATCAAGAAGGGGGTCCATCAGGGATGTGTTTTGTCTCCATACCTTTTCAATCTGTATGCAGAACAGATCATCCGAGATGCTGGGCTGTACGAGGAGGAATGTGGCATCAGGATTGGTGGAAGATCTATCAACAACCTGTATTATGCAGATGACACAACCCTGCTTGCTAAAACTGAGGAGGACCTGAAGCGCTGGCTGCAGAAGGTCAAGGACTGCAGTCTTCAATATGGATTGTAGCTCAATATCAAGAAAACAAAGATTCTCATCACTGGGCCAACTGGCAGCATCAGTATGGATGGTGAAGATACTGAGGTAATTAGTTAACAGTTTTAGTTTACTTGGTTCCACAGTCAACACTCTTGGTAACAGCAGCCAGAAAATCAGGAGACGAATTGCACTGGGAAAGTCAGCTGTGAGGGACCTCTCAAGAGTACTGAAGAGCAATGACGTCAGGCTGGAGACTAACGTGCGCCTGATCCAGGCTATGGTCTTTGCAATTACATGCTATGCATCAGAGAGTTGGACACTGAATAGGGATGATAGAAAGATAATTGATGCCTTTGAGCTGTGGTGCTGGAGAAGAGTGTTGAGCATACCATGGACTGCTAGGAGAACAAACAGGTTTTTCCTGGAGAGGGTGAAGCCAGAATGCTCTTTGGAGTCAAGGATTCTGAGTCTTCGTCTGACATACTTTGGGCATGTTACAAGGAGGGACTGGTCCTTGGAGAGGCACATCATGTTTGGGAGAGTGGAGGGATGGTGCAGGAGAGGAAGACCCTCGATAAGATGGATCAATTCTGTGAGTTGAGTGCAGGGAATGAGTGTGTTTGAGACAGCAAGGTTGGCACAGGATAGAATGGCATTTAGGGCTCTTGTACATAGGGTTGCTATGAGTCACAAGAAACTCAATGGCACATAACAACAGCAGCAATCTTTGTTGATTGCCTTCAAGTCAGGCATGATTCATAGTGACCCTATGAACAAAATGTCTGAAGCTCCTCTACAACTATTGACATTTATCCAAGTTCATAGTTTCCGGAAGCATATTGTTTAGGAACTTCATTAGCTATAATATATTGCATTCCTTACTGAGAAATATGAAAAGGAAACAAATTGTAGCTAAGTATAAAGAAGACTAAATGATGATATATAAAATTATGTCTTTGGTTTTATTTTTGCTATTATTTTAGAGATGAAGATTATAAGGTTAGGAATAAGAGAATTATAGGAAGAGTGCTGTGGCATTCTTCCAAGGGCACTTATGTTATATCTCTGTCATCCCGTAGGTGATAAATGATGTCTCTCACTTGTGTTCATATATAAGGAAGAAATATTATTCCTCTTCCTATGCTTAGGAGGCTACCTGTTTGGGTGATGGGGGACAAAGCTGTGATCCCCAATTCCTGCTCCTCTTCCTGGCTCCCCTGGACCTTTGATACAGCGGCGGCAGTGGTGTTCCGCCTCCCAGTCTTGCCCCAAGGACTCCAGAGGGCACTGGAAGAGATCTATATTTGTTCCCATTCCAAAGAAAGGTGATCCCACAGAGTTTGGAAATTATCTAACAATATCATTAATATCACATGCAAGCAAGATTTTGCTTAAGATTATAAACAAAATGACTGGAACAGCACATCAACAGAGAACTACTAGAAGTGCAGGCTGGGTTTAGATGGGGCCATAGTACTAGGATATTGTAGCTAATGTTAGATGATCTTGGCTGAAAGCAAGGAGTACCAGAAGAATGTCTATCTTTGTTCATCGATTATGCAAAGGCATTTGACTGTGTGGATCCAAATAAACTGTGGCTGACTCTGAGAAGAATGGGAATCCCAGAACATTCGATTGTGGTAATGCAAAACCTATACTTGGACCAGGAGGCAGTCATCAGAACAGAGCAAGGAAATACTGCATGGTTCAAAATTGGGAAGGGTGTATGCCAGGGATGTATCCTGTCTCCATACCTTTTCTATCTTTATGCAGAACAGGTTATATCCGGGAGGCTGAGCTCTATGAGGAGAAATGTGACATCGGAACTGGAGGAAGAATAATCAACAATCTGCATTATGGAGATGACACAACCTTGCTTGCTGAAACTGAAGAGGACCTAAAACACTTGCTGTGGAAGGTCAGGGACTGCAGTCTTCAGAATGGATTGAGACTCAATATCAAGAAAACAAAGATTCTCACCACTGGGCCAATTGGCAACATCATAATGGATGGTGAAAACATTGAGATTGTTCACAATCTTGGTTTGTTTAGATCCACAGTCAACAACACTCTTGGAACCAGCAGCCAGGAAATTAAAAGACGTATTGAATGGGAAAGTCTGCAGTTAGAACCTCTCTAAAGTGCTGAAGTGCAAAGATGTCAATCTGGAGACTAAGGTGTGCTTGATACATGCCATGGTCTTTGCAATCACTTGCTTTGCATGAGAGAGCTGGACAATGACTAGGGATGACAGAAGGAGAATTGATGCCTTTGAGCTATGGTGTTGGAGAAGAGTTTTTAATATACCATGGACTGCTAAGAAAACAAACAGGTTTGTCCTGGAGATGTTGAAGCCAGGCTGCTCCTTCAAGGTAAGGATTCTGAAGCTTTGTATGACATACTTTGGACATGTTTGTAAGGAGGGACCAGTCCTTGGAGATGTCATGCTTGGGAGGGTGGAGGGACAGCACAGGAGAGAAAGACCCTGGATGAGATGGATTGATTCAGTGACTGGGGTAATGGGGGTAGGTGTCTTGGAGATGGTGAGATTGGAACAGGATAGGGCAGAGTTTAGGGCTGTTGTACATAGAGTCACTAGGAATCACAGGTAACTCGACGGTACATAACAACAACAACAACAACATGCTTAAGAGACTTAAGAGACTAGTGGCCTGACTGTAAGAAGCTACACTGTAATCTAAAAGGCATGCAGTTTGAATCCACCAGTTGCTTCATAGGAGAAAGATGGGCTAACTCCTCCCAAGGGACTTAATGCCTCTGAAAACCGGCTAGAGAGGCAGCTATGGATCGGTTCTGATTCAACAGCACACAGCAAAAGCAACGTGATTAGAAGAGGGCATAAGTTACTATTTCAAAAGTATTTTATTTCCTTTTATTTGTCAATTAGAAAAAATGGAGTAACAGCTACTTTAAATCAATAGACACTTCAAGTTACTTACCTCATATTCCATTCTTCAGTATGTGTTAAGTCTTTTTTCTTCCATTTATAATACTTTTTTAAGAAATTTGCATCTTGAAGTACTGAAATTAGAATGTTAGAAAAAAAATGAGCTGTCAAGTATCCATCCTTTAATAGTTATAAGTTCAAAACAATTCAATTCTTATTAATAAATATTAACACATTATATAAAGGTCAAATCATACTATTTTGCTCTTTTCAAAACATCTTTCATTAACATTTTATATTTTATATTATTTCAAATAAGTAGGTTGTGACTTCAAATTTTTTTATTATGACATTTGTTTATATATTAACTTACTCATTCTGTCCAGCTGGAACTGGCCCATCGCTGACCCTCCTGAGCCTGTAAATCACATGGGAGGAAGTATCTTTCTTTCAAATTGCTGCTGGTGATTTGAACAGCCTGTGGGTTATCAGCACGACTCCCTGCGGACTATGCCACCAAAGCTCCTTCATTCGTACTTTTAGGGACTCAAACATACTAATGGGCATGGAAATGTTATGTTGATGTTTTTGTTAGGTGCCTTGGGTTCCACTGTAATTCATGGTGACCCTATGAACATACAGAAACCTTCTTCTATTTCACACCATCCTCCCGGTCTCTGACATGCCTTAGCCCCCTGTAACAGTGGATGTTACAGCCAATCTGTCTTCCTGAGGGTCTTCCTCTCTTTCTCTGACCCTCTACTTTTTCCAGGATGACGTCTCTCTCCAAGAACTGATTCCTCCTGAGAGTAAGTCCAAAATAAGTTAAAGTTGCACCATTCTTGACCCTAAGGAACATTCTGGTTGCACTTCCTTTCTTCATTTTTTTAAAAAAAATGTTTTTAGTTGCCATTGAGTCTGTTAGTTACAATCTAATATATAACTTAAGAAAGCATTACCCAATCCTATGACATTTTCTGCATTTTGCCTTTATTCCCATTTAGAAATCTATACTAAAAAAACTGTCCTCTATTGCCTCCTTACTGTAGTACTCATTTCCATGTCCTTTCTGAGTATTATAGGGCATTCTTTGCACTATTTTTTCCTTGATATATTTTATCCAAGTTTGCATAAGTTTATCTGAATTTTATTTCCTTCACTGCTGGGACTGCCTCACCCAAAGAAATTTAATAGTACCAGCTTATCATGTTTTATTTTCTAATATACTATCTCACACCAACTAAAAGACAAGACAAAATGTAAACTGAGGTACAACTATGTGACCTGGTTAGATTCACTTAAGTATACATGATGAAACTCGTCTAGGGCTATGAAGTTTGTGTCTTTGGAAATCATGTGCTTCCCCACCAGAGCAAGTGGTTCTAAACCTTGGCTTCATGTTGTAATCACCTGGGGAGCTTTAAAAACTTACTACTGCCTGGTCTCGCTCCCAGAGAGTCTGATGTAATTGGTCTGGGTGTGCCCTTCACATTGGAATTTTTACAAGCTTCTCAGGTGGTTCTGATGAGCAGCCAAGATTGGGAACTGCTGCATTAGAATTGGATGCTACAGCCTTTTGCCTCTAAAGGCACTTGCCCTCATTGTTGCCTTAAAGACTTAAAGAATGAAAAGTCTCCTAGGGTGAAAGCAAGGAACCCCATGATGCTTCAGGCTGTTTGGTCTGTCCTGATGACAGCAAACAAACATCAGGAAGCCCCTGCTCAGTATTAGAGAGTACACTGGTCTGAAGGGATTCTTTTCCTCAAATATAAATATTTCCTTATGGGAAGCATATTCCGTCATTAAGACAGTTGCCCACAACCATATGCATTGGTTTGCTCTCAGTCAAACCTTTTCTTTGCCATTCTTTGGTGATGGATAGAAACCAGTTGATCACTGGTATATCTTCCCAGATGATTGCTTATGTACACTATGAAGTAATACTTAGAATTCTTAAAAACATATACTGCAGGGTTTGAATTTAAACTTCATGCTATAGATGGATAAAAATTTCACACCTTCCTGTGAAGGAAGTGTGATGTAAGAACAGTAAGAGAGGGTTTATGGATCTGAAAAAGAGAGTAAAATAATAACCCCAAGATTATAGATTTGGTCTATCACTACTCATGACACACATTGTTCAAAAAGCAAACTAATTATCACTGAGTTAGAACTTACTCATAGATGACTGACTCTCCAGTGGGCTTCTGATACTATAAACTGAACAAAAAGACACTGTCCATCTTTCTCCCATGAAGCAGCTGGTGAATTTGAATCACCAGAGAGGCTCGCCTCTGGGTTATCAAGTGTAATGCCCTATGGATTATGCCACTAAAGGTTATGGCAAATACTGTTGTTGTTATGTGTCATAGAGTTACCTACGACTCAGCAATCCTATATACAATAGCTCTGAACCTTCCTCTATCCTAAGCCAGTTTCACTGTCTTTGACACACTTACTCCCCATTATCCTAGTTACTGTGTCAATCCATCTCATTCAGGATCTTCCCCTTATGTGCTGTCCCTCCACTCTTCCAAGCATGACGTACTTCTCAGGAGGCCCTCCTGGCAACATGTCCAAAGTATGTGAGATGAAGTTTTAAAATCCTTGCCTCCAAGGAGCAATCTGGTTTTCATTCTCTCCAAGATAAACCTTGTTTGTTCTCTTGGCAGTCCATGGTATGTTTAATATTCTTCTCCAGCACCACAACTCAAAGTCATCAATTTTTCTGTCAACTCTAGTCACTGTTTAGCTCTCTGACGCATAGTAAATAATTGTGAAGACCATGGCCTGAATCAGACACACCTTAATCTCCATACTGACTGTTGTTCTTTAGCACTTTGGAGAGGTCCCTAAAAGCAGCCTTCCCCAGAGCAATTAGTCTTTTGATGCTTAATAAATATTGGTTGAATAAATAAATTATATTTGGTAATTTAAGAACGTATTACATGTGAACATGCTGTGTAAATAGCATTATACAAGAATAACTATTACTATAGCACCAATGACTACAAATGGACTTGCAGGCACAAAGATAACAGAAAAAAAGTGAGTATTAAAAATAAAAATGTAGCTACTCACCACTACTCATAAAAGATAAAGCTCTTTAAAATATGCACGAGTTTAATATTTTTCAGTGATAACGATGTAACTGTAGAAAATGACGTTATTAGGGATTTCTCTTTTATTTCTGAATTGTTGAAGAAATGTTCTATAATCTAAAAGCTTCATCTTTATTATCACCAGGAAATTAGGCTGTTAAAGATATAGCACTGGATCTCATCCAACCAAGCTAGCCAAAGACAAAATGGCCAGCAGCACATGTAAGGTTTACAGTTAATTTTTTTAAAATTAAGTGCTGGTTATTATTGAAAGAAAGCTCTTGAAACGTTCTTCTAACAATTCCCTAGGGAAAGAGGCAGGGCGATTGTGAAATCTGGCACCATGTGCTGGAATCAAAGTCTCAGACTTTCTTCTGAGCCACAGATAATCCTTATCAGCTAGTGTGTGCAACGAGAGGGATGAACTAGAAGCTAGTTGGTGACATATGTAAAAACAACACAAAATGAAATATTTGAGAGTCAAACACTTTCGAAGGAGAAACTGAAAAAGGACTTAATTATTCCTTACTGCAAGATACTCCTTCCTAAATTGTCTATTGGTTTGGCATGTGCTGCTTTTTAAAATTTCATTTTATTGTTTTTTAAGTAACATCCTGCAACCATTTGTTTTTTCATTGGGTTAGTCTGATGCTGAGTTATTTTGAGGGTGTACTGATGTCTGTGCACTGTTTTGCTTACAATTAGGAGATACTGCTTCCAGGAACTCATTTGAACTCCTCAGGGTGTCAAACATAGTAGGTGCTCAAGATCTGTTGAACTCAATAAGCAGCACCCAATCACAAATCATCAGACGGAAATAAGCAGTTATATATTAAGTTATCGACATGACTAGAGTTGTTAAAGACCAAGGTTCCTTTAGGGAGTTCTGGTGGCCTAGTGGTAAGAAGCTGTGCTGAAATCTCGAAGGCACACAGTTCTAATCTAGCAGCTGCTCCATGGGAGAAGGTTGGGTAATCTCAGGGTATTAAGTGCCTTGGAAAACTCACCAGAGGGTTAGCTATGGGTCAGTTCTGATTTCATGCTACACAATGGCAACAGCAATCTATGACTGCGGGACAAGTTAACGTGTGATTGAAAAAAAGTAACTAACACTCTGCAAAAGCTGGTGATTTCTTAGAAGCTACTGATCTTAAGAATAAACATACTCCTATATCTATTTACCAATTGACAGATACATGTAAGTATGTGTCACATAACATACATATGGTAATGACTGTATGACACATTATGTACATATAGCAATGACTGCACTAGACTTGTTGTTGTTATGTGCCATCGAGTCGCCTGCGACTCATAGCGACCCTATGTACAACAGCCCTAAACTCCGCTCTGTCCTGTGCCAATCACACCGTCTCTGACACTCCCATCCCAATTATCCCAGTCACTGAATCAATCCACCTCATAGAGGGCCTTCCTCTCCTGCGCTGTCCCTCCACCCTCCCAAGCATGATGTCCCTCTCCAAGGACCGGTCTCTCCTCACAACATGTCCAAAGTATGTTAGACGGAGCCTCAGAATCCTTGCCTCCAAGTAGCCACCCGGTTTAACCCTTTCCAGGACAATTGGTTTTAAGACAGGAAAGAAGCTGTCTTTTTCTTATTATCTCCCCAAGTGGTTTTAAATATCCCAGTCCAAGACTCCTGCTGTACTGGGCAGGAGTGGAGGGTGGTAGTGGTGGAATATAGGCAGGTGAGGCTAGAGAACATGGCTCTGGCTATGGCCTTGTGGGCTTTGTCCGGTGGGCAGAAGGCAGTGGCTGTGGGGCTTGGGTGGCTTCTGCTTCTCAGGCAAACAATAATGGATGAGGTGGGTCACACTCGGCTCCCTGCCTGCTCACTTCCTCCCCTCTTAGCCACTAATGGTGTTAGTGCTTGAAGCTTGCACTTCTGTCAGAAGTTCCAGCAGCAGCAGTGACAACGAGGACAACCAGAGGAGGGCTCCTGAAAGGTTTGTTTTAATATGGTGTTCTCACTTTGTCTAAATCACTCAACATCCTATCCCACAGAATGTACTGTGTTATGGTAAGTAATACATTACCCACTGCTCTTGGGTCCGTTCTGGCATACAATGAATTACTTCTTAAGATTACTAATAGTTAGAGAGTCAGACTACAACATCTTTCTCTTGTGAAGTTGCTGGTGGGCTTGAACTGCTGGCTTTTCAGTTAGGAGCTGAGGTCTTAATCACTATGTCACCAGAGAAAAGGGGTGGTGGTGGTGTGTGAACTTCCTACCACTTTTGCCTTTATTTGTGCCTTAATAAAATTAAATCCTATTTTGTTCTCTTGAAATCAGTTAGGAGATTATGACAATAATGTGATGAAGTATTTAACACCACTACCAATAACCTTCAAGGAGATCTTCATGGGATTCCAAGACTCAATATTTATGAGAAGAGATTACTCATTTTTCTCCAATGTAGTACTTGGAAGATTTGAACCTCTGACCTTTTAGTTAGCTGTGCAATACATAGCACACTATGCTACCCGAGCTTCTTGATAAATTACAAAGGGACCCTCAATTAAGGCAGTGGTCATAGGAATGGAGTGGTGGTGAAGCACTCACAGGGTTGCAGGAGATAATATCATCAAGGCTTAATAAAGGAGACAGAGAAGACTAGGGCAACTTCTGTAATTCTGGCTTCAACGGGTAGTTGTAAGAAAGGTACTCTATCACTAACCAAGAGAGCAACAGTGATGAAAGTACAGGTTTTAGAGGGAAGATTCACTATAGGCTATTTTAAATATGAGATATCTGTAACATAATTTCTATGACATAATTTCCTGTTTATAAATGCATATTTAAAAAATTGTTTAAAAGTGTCTGCCCAGAGGTGTGGTTTGAGACATCATGGCAATGTGAAATAATGAAAACCACAGCAGTGGATAAGAGCTTGTAGAGATAAAGGACCGAATGAAGAAGGATTTTCTGAGGAAAAAGGAACAGGCACTTTAAAGACAGGAAGAGGAGAATCATGAGTGTAAGTTGTTACATAAGTCAATCACTGAATCTGGTAAGTAGGAAGTGAACGGTAATTCAGAATGTTCATTATATCCAATTGGCTAAAGCAAAGTCATATTTCAGAAACAATGTGGGACAACAGGTTTCAAATGACTAGATGGAATTAGGTGGATGGGTAAGGACTAGCCAACCTACTTTGATCCACATAATGAACTGGTTGTTTTTGTTTTCGTTATTGTGTGCCATCAAGTGGGAACCGACTCATAGCTGACCATCCAGCAGGTTTTCAGAGACATTTAATCACATGAGAGGAGACTGCCCATCTTGGTCCTGTGCAGGGCAGCTGGTGGGTTTGAACTGTGTGCCTTACGGATTGCAGCACAGCTTCTTGCTACTAGGCCACTAGAGCTCCCTATTAATAAACTTGTTGTTGTTGTTATGTGCCGTCGAGTCGTTTCTGACTCATAGCGACCCTATGCACAACAGCCCTAAACCCTGCTCTATCCTGCGCCAACAGCACCGCCTCTGACACAGCCATCCCTATTACCCCAGTCACCGAATCAATCCATCTCATAGAGGGTCTTCCCCTCCTGCGTTGTCCCTCAACCCTCCCAAGCATGATGTAGTCTGAAACTGTGAAATAGGACCTGAAAGTTATTTAGTTGTTTCAAAAATTTTTTCTTTTTAATTTCTAATTTTCGTTTCTCAGTGATGCAAGAGGTCTGGGATTGAATTCACCCAGTGGCTCCATAGAAAAAAAGCCCTGGCAAACTGCTTCTAGAAAGATTACAGCCAAGAAAACTGTATGCAAGAGTTTTACAGAATTTACCCATAGAGCACATAGGTCACCATGAGTCAGAATTTATTTGACAGCAGTTGGGTTTTGATATGATGGTAACAGCTGTATTTTTCTTAGGCTGGTAAAACTGAACAGCCCTAGCTACATTATATGATTTTTTGCTGTCTTTCTACTTAATACTTTCTCTAGTGTTTCTCTAGTGTAAAAGATAATTGTGTTTAGAATTAAAGAAATGTCCTCTTGCTGTGAAGCGTTTGTGGTTTGTTTTTTGTTTTTGTTTTTGAGGGGTTTTTTGCTTGTTTTTTTTGTTCTTTTTTTTTTTTTTTAAGAATGAAGAGAATAAAAGAAACTTCCTAAGATTGAGAAGCTCAACTTTCAGTCCTCCAATTGTCTATCTTTCTTTTTGGTTCTTAATCAGACTTCAGTCCAGGACTATATACAAAAGAGAATCCAAATTAATACTTGTTGAATGAACAAATATATCGAGCCAACAGGAACATTTATCACCCCTACAGTGCAAATAGGTGTCAATTACTTCTTTAAAGCAAGACAAGCTGAGAATAATTAAGAGATTAGTACACACCAAAAAGCACACAGGATAAGACTAGATCACCTTACATGAAGTTCTTTCCAAATCTGTGGTTTGCGATGTAGCCATTCTAGACCAAGTCTTGTAGTAGTCATTAAATGGAACATCTTTAATTGATCTAGAAATAGAAATTAAAACCAGACAACAAACTGTTGGCAAATTTACTTTTTAAAATTATTTTATGAGAGTAGATTGTTTCAAGAGCCGTTTCTTGTCACAAGAAGTTATAAGTATTTGTAAAATTTATAGTACATCTAACATATTCATTTCATCACCACAAAATCAAATCACAAAAAGGGCATTTATCCAAATAATTTTCAATAATAATATATGTAACTGTGCACCCAGGCACATATAACAAAAAGAAACGTGTAAGTTTAAAGTATCCGATTTTCATAACTTACATTAAGAAAAAACTGCAGGAAAAGCACTAAAGCTGTAAGTTTTCTCATTCTGTAATACAGAGTTTTCTTAAATATCTATTCCAAATTTTATTAAAATTACCTTTATCTCATTTACATCATGTAGGGAGAAAAACTAGAATTGAGACTGGTTTAATTTTACATAGAAGAGGCCACTTTCAAAGTGGAGGGGAAGAATACCAGCTGTTTAATACTGATTTTTTTCACCCTTATTCACACACAGCCCACATAAGAAACTAATGCACAAAGGAATTATGCATGCTATTTGTGCAAAAATATGTTCCAGTGGACACTTCTCTCTCTCTGTGTTAAGGCACTGTGCCGCTCATCGAAGTAGTTTGAAGCCACCAGGTGCTCTGTGGGAGAAAGATGGGCCCTCTTTCCCCATGTGATTTACTACCTCTGAAAACCTGCTGGAGGGTCAGCTATGAGTCCGTTCCAACTGAAAGACACACAACAACAACAACAATGGAATAGCAAAGTATTAAACAGAAACTAAAAAGCAGTCAAGAAACTGCATTCCAAAATCTTCTTTCCTTAAAAAGAACCAAAAACCCCAAAAACAAACCCTTATCGTGGTGATGTTTAACATAAAATTTTCCTTTTTAAAATTCTTCAGTATATAATTGAGTTGCATTATTTACATTCACAATCTTGTGAAGCTATCACCATTATCTACTTATAAACTTTACATCACTCAAAACAGAAACTCTAGAAGTGTGCTTTTTTAAAAAAAAAAAAAAAGCAGAGATTCTTAACAAAATATCACATAGGGAAATTTTTCAGACATGTGGAATCACCAAATAGCTGGCTTAAACAAGACATCAAAAAAGCAAATGCTAAAAACCTTATGCCTGTTTTCTAATTTAAATTCTTTGCTCTTTGGAGGAAGAACCACAGCAACTCTTTACTTCGAACAAGTAAATTAGCTTGAAATGTTATAGGTAAAACCTAGGAACCATAAGTAAATATTTGACTCAATTTTCCAATTAATGAGGGCAACATCAAAATGTGTTAAATGCATTCATTTCATTAAACCACAATTACCGACACATAATTTTAAAACTAATATTTTTCAAACATGTTATTACTTCTGCAATCACACTTAAGTAGAAATCTGAAACTTCATGAAGATAAATTAATCATTACTATTATTGCTTCCAGAGCTTCATGCAGGGCTTTATACTACTAAATGATATACTAAACTAACATCAATTTGCCAATGAAATGTTTCGGCATTTGGGGACTGAGGGAAGAAAATGAAAGGCTGCATTATATCTCCTGCATGAAAAAGCTTGTGATCAATTTGCTGTCACAGATCATTTAGCAGACAACAATGACCCAAGAGGAAGGAAACTGTCAACACACTGTCTAGTGAAAAAAATACACCATCTTCAGGCACAATCGTCTCCATTGTTTCTTGTCTGTTTGGGGACGACCCATGACCCTCTCCCTTCCCAAAGGTGTCCTGTTCAATTTCAAACTGTTAGCCTTCAGGGGTTTTCGGTTGGTTTATTTTTCTCAAAATAATTAAAACTATTTCCCTAAAAGGTATAACTCTAATATAGTTTGGATATACAAAGCAGAAGATTTTAAACATTTGTCAATATTTGCATTTACAATTCTATAAGGGAAATAAATCCTTAAAATAAGAAAAGACTAACTATATTAGTTTACTAATATTCTGATTATTTAAGTGAACTACTAAGCCTACAGGGATACACACGCACACACACAGATTCATTAAATGCATGTGTTTATAGTTTTAACCGACAATAGGAATTTGAATATTAACATTGGCATTAGGAACATAAAAAAGGTATAAGACATAATTTTAAACTGAATAAAGTTTATTATCCTGTTTGGGAAACCATATCTCTTGCTTGCTCACTTGTTTTCTCACTGTCTTGCATATGTGTGTATAGTGTGTGTGTGTGTGTGTGTGTGTGTGTGTAAATAAATAAATTACACACACACAAACACATATATCTCCAGGGTCTTCCTCTCTTGCGCTGACCCTCTACCCTTCCAACCGTGATGTCCTTTTCCTGGCAACATGCTCAAGATATGTGAGATGGAATTTCAAAATCCTTGCTTTCAAGGAGGAACTTAGCTTCACCTTCTCCAGGACAGACCTATTTGTTCTCTTGGCAGTCAATATCCTTTTCAGCACTACAACTCCAAGACATCAATTCTTCTTCTGTCTCCTTTAATCATTATCCAGATCTCAAGATTTATAACAAGCAACTGAGAAGACCTGGCCTGGATCAGGTGCACCTTAGTCTCTAGACTGAAATCACTGCACGTTTGCACTCTGGAGAGGTCCTTGACAGTACTTTCCTAAAGCAACTCATCTTTTGATTTCTTGACTGTTGGTACCAAGAGTGTTATTTGGAATGTGAGCAAGATGAAACTATTAACTACTTCAATCTCTTCTCCATCTGTCATGATACTGCCAATTGGCCTTGTAGTCTTCTTGATGTTGAAATAGATAGACATATAATTGTTTATTGCGGCTTTGTTTACAATAGCAAAGAGTTGGAAACAACCTAAGTGCCCATCAACAAACGAATGGATAGAGAAGCTCTGGTATATTCACACAATGGAATACTACACTGCATTGAAAAACAAGGAACTCATGCAACATTATTCAAATGGGTGACCCTGGAGGATATTATGCTGAGTGAAATATCTCAGTCACAAAAGGATAAATGTTGCATAGTGCCACTGCTGTAGAACAGGACTGACATCAGGGTTGGGGTGAGACTGAGAAAAATTGAAGAAATCATGTATACTACATTGAAACTGATGAGGAATAGAACAGTTTAAAAGCAATATATGACTGGGTATTATCATTATGACAAGAGTCCAGAATGAAGGTTGCATAGTGGAGTGTACTCAGCGGGGGAGTGGGGGTGGGATTGTATAACAATGAAAAAATTTTTCTTTTACTTTAGAAAGAGAAAACTGAACTGGGGGCAGGGGGAGGGAGATGTGGGCAGAAAAAGAAATGCAACAATGAATGAACAGAAATCCCAAATCTCTGTAAACCTTCATTAAAATTAATAAAACTATTTTTTTAAAAACAGAAATAAATCTATCTATCCCACTAAATAGAACAACTTTAGATGTAAACGTAATTTAATTAAGTGCACCATTGTTAGCACAGATATTTTCCCCAATTTTATTTGGAAAATTAAATTACAACTATTTCTTTTGCAGTCAAAATATGTATGGAAGAAATTGGAAGATGAATATATGTGTCTTGAAATGATTTGGAAAAGAGTCACTTGGGATATGGGACTGGGGAAAAGGAGTGAGCATTTGAGCCCATGGAAGAAAGGTACTAGCAATGCTTTAGGTGGGAGAAAGCATTATGTGTGCAAGTTCATACATACAGAGACTATTAGAGGAAGAACATGTCATGAAGAAAGTGCATTTTGGAGGCAAAGATGATAAAAGTTTCATTTTACATCCTTTTGGGCATACTCCTAGGAGAAGCTATTCCTTGGAAAGGGACATCATGCATGGAAAGGTGCAGGATGAACGTAAGAGAAGAAGACATTCCACCAGGTGGACTGGCACAGTGACTGTTGCAATGGGCCCCAATATGTCAGAAAGTGTGAGGATGGCACAGAATAAGGGTTCAGATCTGTTGTTCATAGCATCACTATGGGTTGCACTCAACTTGATGGCAACTAACAACAACAGTATACAGGAAAAAGTGAGAGTAACAAGACAATTGATCAAATTTGAATGTACCAATTAAAAAAAGCAGAGCTGTCAGATATAAGCAGAAAGGTTAGAATTGATTCTATAGATGACTTATTAGATAACAGATTTACTTGAATAAAGCAAGCTAATTATGAAATCCATGTCTGAACAAGAGTAAACTCTGGCACAAGTACACAGGATGGATAGCATAAGAGATACTAAATGTGGGGCTATTTAGGGGCGAAAAATGAGATTAAATACTAAGATGGAAGGCAAGATTATAAAGGCAAAGAAAGTAACTGACTGAACGGTTGTCTCAGTATGAAGGGTGTAGACACTTGAGGGTCAAATATTCTAAACCATGGAAGTCTTTTTGCTGTTACTTGAAAGCATTAAGGGAAATATAAGTAAAAGATGAGCCTGATTTCAGACATGGGTTTTAAATGATGATAGGACAGGCCTGTGGGAATAGCTTCCAGGAATGTGATGAAATTGGGACCGGGAATGAGAGATGGGGGCCAAATATTTATAAAGGCTGATAGAAGAAGCAAAAAAAGAAAACAAACTCCACAAAAGTAAGTGATCAATAAAAAGAAAAGTCAAAGTCCTTGCCATTAAGTTGAATGGACTCATGGCTGACCCTCTAGTAAGTTTTAGGAGGCTAATAATTGGATGGGAGGAGACTGCCTATCTTTCCCCCTCGGAGCTATCGGTAAATTTGAACCGCGGGAGAGGCAGGGCCTTTTGGCTAGCAGCACAATTCTTTCTTTACTATGCCACCAGAGTTCCCGCAGAAGAGAAAGAACAGAATGCACATCACAATCAGGAAGCCAGTAAACAAATGGAAATTATCACTGAGGATAAAAGAAACAAGGAGTGCCATGTCATGAACATAACATCTCAGCCTCAAGCAAAGCCTCAGTCTCTGGATGGAATCTTCTTCATCATGATCTATTTGTGTAATATTATGGCTGACAGTACA